AATATTGTAAATGCATAGGAGCATTGTGTCTGAGGAATCCCCCAAAGGAAGTCACAAAGGAGTGTGTTCCTTAGATCATAACTTTCTCTAAGTCCTTAAAGTAGCCTGAGGTCTGTGACAAGTATAGAAGGAGGTGACTTGGGGTATCAGAAAGTTTGCTTTTGCTGCCGCTTGACAATCCGTTTACACCACCTAACTCCGTATCTTATTCTAATGTAAATGCTTTGATACTGTGGCTAAGCATAATCTGCTTAAAGTAGGGTCATAAAACGTGGGGTGATCTCTTGGGAAGTCTGCCGCCGCTCCACAGCAACCAAGAAATTATAGTTGAAACTCAAGTTTGAAAACTCCTCATACCCTTGTTTCTTCATATGTATTAGTTCTTCTTACTGTCTTCTTGGATACCTCATATATATTCAGCACGTATTTCAACATGTAAGAAAGTTGAAACGGCACACAGCTTTTGTGGATTTTCCTCAGAGTTTTTCATAGCTTGTGTGCATTTTTAGTTGATTCTCTCTCTTTTAAAGTGATGTGCTTTATGTTATCTTTTTTAACCATAGAAAGAACTTTTTGCAATTTTTTGCAAGCCCTTTTAATTCTTGAATGCAATTCTGAAAGAAAGTAGGTACTTCTCACTCTTAAATATGTCAAAGTTCTACCCAGCTGTTAGCCAGTAAGTCATAAAAAGATTCCTGTGAGGTAGGCAGTGCATGTTATCTTTTATAAATGCAGACATAGCACTGTTGTACCACCTGAAATTCCATCAGGCTCCAAGCTCTGCAGAAAGTGACAAATGCTAGACAGGTATACGATTTATAATGGATGAGGTATGCAAGCAAGCTCTGGGAGTTGGATTGGATTTGATTACAAACAATAATATGACACAACCCCTGCTGTGGGTAGCACACAGATTGTGAGAGGCAGTGCAATCAGGCAGCCTCAACACCCGACTGCAGGCATGATCCAGAGCCCTGAATCCACCTTTGCAATCCACCTGCTGTGTGGCTTTGGGAAAGTCTTGTCTGATCTAACAGTCCTTCTTCCAATTCCCTATCTGTTTGTTTAGCAACAGCATGTTAAACAATGATACCTCGCTAAGCCACTTCAATGCAATTTATAGCTCGGCGTGACAGTGGGCTTTGGAGAGGCTTTTTAAAGGAATTATATGAAAAGACAAGAAGTTATTTGAATAATTTTGTGCAGTTGCTGACAATGAACTTGGAAAATTTTCCATTAAGTAACTTTTCTCCATCAACAAAATTTTCCCTGAGGGTCTACCTTCCACCCCAGCAAGAATGAGTGCGTTTCCAGTACAAAAGCGAATGGAAGAGATATTGATATTCCTGCATCAGCCAGCGTTTAAGTATTGAGCAGTACTGAATGCAAAGCTTTTCTCTTCCTAGAATGGGAATGAAAAAAATCTTCACATCAAGCCATTATCTATGAGTGGTGGGCATGCCCACAGAATTTACAAACTTGATGTTTTCTAAGTCAACTTCAGACTCTCTTTGTTCAATGGACAAGTCAGTGTATGTTGGTGATGGCCATTCAACAACAGCATTTACATTAACATCTCAGTAGGACCTGAACCAGTAAAATTTTAGGTTAAAAAAAAAGCTCTTGAGGCATTTTCTTTGCCTCATCTTTTTTCCCTTTGGATTCTGTCCCTTGTTTTATGTGTTGGCAAAAGAAAGAACATACACATCAAAATGTCCATTAAACAGAGTATTGGTCTTGTGGAGAACTGAAGTTTATAATGAAGATTTAATTTTTAAGGATGTAATTGAACAGCTGATCAAAGGCATGACTCATGAATGCAGCTGAGGCCTACACCATTAGGATAACTGTTCTAGCAAGTAAATCCCAACACGTGCAACAATATAATCTTTCCCTCTTAAGCAGATTCATACATTTAGTAAAACCACATTTCAGTAAGTGTGGATTTTTGTCCAAGGGTAAACAAACAGATCGGTACTATTTCTGTATATCCATGTCTGTGCTTTAGACTCTGTAATTTTGCAAGGCTACTTATATCACTGTTTGGCAACATTTCAATGAAAGAAAATCATATGCTCTGTGGGGAACACTAATACTAATGATTATTGAGTACTAGTGTTCTGATTGCTCTGAGCTACACGCAAACACACAAAGCAATAAACTTTTTGCAATATAATGTAACCACCCTTTTATTTGTTTTAGTTTGTCAAGAAATTTCATGTATTTTTCACTTTGGGCTTCTTCACCATTCTCCTCACAGCTTATATGTCACCGTTTTAAGAAGTCTAGGCAGTGATGCTTTTATCTTTAATATTCTATCAACAGATATTTTTTGCGTACTGTAAGTCTGATCATAAGATCATTGACAAAAATTTAGCACTGACCTGTTTTTGCATTTCTATGTTATTGGAATCAAAGTGATTCCTCTGTCCTATGTTACCACATATTATCTCAGATTGATACTTGCAGCATTCTTTTATTGGCCATATTTTCTAAATTCTAGCTGAAAGGCGTACCTCAGAGAGCCCAACTTGTTCTGTGCTCCAAAAATGTTTCAGTAGATGGCTTCCTCTCCACCTGGAATGCTTTTTCCTATCCCTTACTACATGACCCAATGTCCTACATACAATGTATGGCATTCTGGCAAATCCATTCTTCCAAGCTGTGGCCTTTAAGAGTGCCCTGTGGGAGCAGAAGGGTTTGGGGACCGTTGCAATACAAAAAACCCCACATACCTAGCTTGCTATAGAGAAAGTTTTGTTTCATTCTGTCCAGTTGTGCACATAGGATATAAAATGACCCCTTATTCCTCTCCAAGTCATGTGGATTACAAGTTATTCTTCTGTGGGCCACTGTTGCATTTATTTCTATATTGGAGTCTATGGAAGCAGTAAAGCCCTGTTGTGTTTGAGTTCCTGCTTCTGGTGATCAATGGTTTGTCCAGAGCACTGAGCTATCACAGATGAGAAAATGCCCTGCACAAGATGAAGAGGTGGACTAGATGAGTTTTTTCCTCGTGGCAATGGGAAGGGTCCTTCTGCCTCTGTGTACATAGCTACAGATGGAACTGGTGAATAGTATTCCTTGCCATCTGAGGTTCACGCTGTGGTTAATACTTGTCTATGCATTTCCTTTCTTGTATACACACCTTCTTCATTCTTTGTTTGGTCTGTGCTTTAGATTATAAATCTGTGCTTTAGATTATATTTCCACTTACCACCCTCTTGGCTTTGGGGCATTTAGGTGCAAGTTCTGATTGTGGAATTGATGGGAGTGTACCCTTACTTCTCCAGGTTGCTTTCTTTTGCATGAGATACCATGCGTGTTTTTGATCTGATGGTCACTTGTATTTTGTGTTTAAACACAAAACTTCCATCAGTAACCTTCCTGATGGAAATATATTGGTGTTACCAGTCCTCCTCCTCTGTATTATTCAGGTTCTTTGTTGAAGTCACATGCGCGTGACTATAATTCTTGTAAAGGGATATTTGTAGTTTGATTCCCACGTCTGGTGAAAGAAAATTTAGAGCAGCTGTGAGTATAGGAATGGATAGCCAACAGCTCTTCCTACCAAGCCTTTTACTTTTCCTTCATACAGCCTTTTCTGGCTTACTCATTCTGCCTCATCTTTCTCTGTTTTCTTTTTTCTTTTGTTTATTCCAGTTTATGGCTCATTGATTTCATAAGTCATACCAGGACCTCAGGTTCATCCCCAGGGCATAGACATCTGGAAAGCTGAAATAGGGATATCAGCATGAAAAGAAAGTGGAGATGACTTGGCTTTATCTGCAAATCCACAAATAATTTGGTGAACAGTTTCTGGTCCTGGAATCTGAATGCTATTTTAGAAAAAACAAATTTGATTCATCCTAGTTTACTTTGGCTGGTGGAAATTAGAATACAGAGTGGCGTTGACAAAGCAGTATACAGAGTGTAAAATAGAGCAATGACCTTGTAAACAGTTCCTCTGGGGATCTTATAGGCATCTAACACAACCCCTAAGATGTTGATTTAAGTGGGTAAGGCCACTGACCCAGGTGACTCATTGTGGGCATAACCCAGGAAAGCATCAGGCACTTGTGACATTCTGGTTGCTGCTTAAAGCTGTTCTTCCTCAGTGACCTCCCTGTGGCACACTTCTTGCCTTCCTGAATTTAACTAATGCCCTACTCAATCTGAAAGTGTCTCTGGGAGATAAAGTTTTCTCCTTTGTGCCAGCAGGTTGACAGGAGCCACCAGTTTCCAAGCTTCATGTTTAGGTCACAAAACATGGTAGCAAAACACAGCAGACCTTTCCTACCAGGAGTAAGTGAGCAATACAAGTGTACAGAATACCTGCCCTATTTCACAGGAGGAACTTCGTAGCTTTTAGATGTGAATGATAAGGACCAGTTCTAATTTCAGAGACACACACATATTATTGGGTATTTTTGCTACCATGCCTTGCACAAGAAATTTCACAGCTGGATGTTTTATTTCCTGACACCTGCTGTATAAAGACATGATAAAGCTCTTCTCAGAGCATCCTTCATTTTATAACTATGGTTTTCCTCCTCCTCTATATAACAGCACCAGTTCATGCAATGAGTTCTTGCTGTGCTGCGTACTGTGACATCCCGTTTGCTTCCTCTAGGCAGTCAAAATTCCCAGTGGCTTCACTGGTCAGCTTGTCTGAGCAAAGGCTGCTGGTCAGCTCTGATGCCCATCCTGTGGACAGAGCTGTAGCCCTTCCAAAGGTTTTGTTTCCTTTCCTTGACTCCAGTGAAGTCCAACCACAAAACGGCACTAGCAGAACCACAGGCTGTTATTGATGGGAATATGTTTCCCATCAATATGGAATCAAGTATGTTTCTTGTTGCAACCTGAAGTCTGAGGCCAGCTGACCTCAGTGAGCTGTGTGCCCCACAACGTAACAGAACCAGCATTTAATCCAGAAGATCTTTAACATGTTAGATATTACTGAAACCTACATAACTCCCTTCTCTCTCTTCAATTCACAGCTACCTCATCCCTGAACTCCCAGCTCCAACAGCTTCAGCATCTTCAGCAGCTCCAGCATCAACAACAGCAGCAAGGTCAACAGCAGCAACAGCAGCAGCAAAGCCAGCAGCAGCAGCAAGGTCAGCAGGCACAGACTTCACAGCCACCCCAGCAGACCCAGCAGCCACAGCCGTCGGCACCGCCTCAGCAGAACCAAACACAGTCCCAGAGCCAGAGCCAACCGCCTCCAGCCCCACAGTCCTCCAGCTCTCCTCAGAAACCCAGCCAGTCACCAGGGCACAGCCTTCCATCTCCTCTTACTTCACCAAATCCACTGCAGGTAGGACCTACATACAAATCTCTACCAGTCTAATGACAGAAAGTGCACACACACTCTTACCGCAAGGGGATATCAAGTGAAGGTTACACCTTCTGACCATACAGGCTGAGAAATTTTAACTTGCATTAGTTAATCCTTACAGGCATGCAGCTTAGAACAGCTAAAAGGCCTGATAAGCCAGAAGGGCATAGCTAATGATGTCCCTAGTCTGCTCCTTTCTGAAGAGTAAACATCTTTTTGCTCTTAAAGTCCATATCATAAAACCCATAGAATACTACTTTTTTCTACAGACTCAGCATGTGACCTTTGCAAATGGCATTTGCCCAGCAGTCATCCCTTTCGGTAACTTATGAGAACAGCAAAGTTAGCTGTTCATTAGCTATTAGATGATCCTGACTGTCCCTAAAAGAAACAGAGCTTCTGCTGGTGGACATGTGCGAGGGTTGGATGGGTTACCCTTCCTCTTGAAATCACAGTCCCAATGTTTGTCCTGCTAGGAATCAAATACTTCTTTTAAGGGTCTCAGCATGGACTCCAAAGCTAAAAATGACAGTTCATGCCTTTCCTAGATATGCACTCCAATGACACAGATGTTTTTTAAATAGACCAACAGCTGTAGCACCCACACTGACACTGGACTCTGCCTGTCTTTGAATTCCTGGGCAGAAACAGGAGAACTCTGACCCAGTAGCCCTAATTTCTTATACTTGGGATTTCTCACACTGCATGTGTCATTATTCCCATCCTGCAAGAAACCAGCAAAGTCTCTATTCACTTTACTCTCTAAGTTTTGAGACCCCACTTTAAAGGTTTTATCCATGCTGATGGATTCAGCTCCATTTCCTGCAGAAATTAAACTGCATTAGCTTAATAATTAAAAAATCATTTTTCAAATAATTAAGGGAATCGGTTTACAAGAAGTATAAACCATTGGTTTTCCATGTGGCCAGTTAAACCTGCATTAATCTGAGCTTCAACTAAATTGCATCAAATCTGATTTTTTTTTTAATGGCTTAACTAATAGACTTAAAAGTCCACAAGAGATGTGTCCTTGTTTCCTAAACTTTTTCTTACAGTAGAGCATAATGTTTCTAGAGCTTCTTCTGTGTATTGTCTTAAGGGCTACTTAGGCACCACTTAATGCCCAATCTATCATGCCTAGTGAGTGCTTTGGGACTCTTTAGTATGCAGATTATTGACATACAGAGACAGGAATATTTCCAGAGGAGCTTCTGTTACATTTTATTGTCTTGGTGGAGCTGTAATGTATACACACTAACTGTACACGCTAAATGCTGGGTTGCTGAAACTGCCTGCTCAACATTTTGCTTCAGTTTTCCAAATGAAGTGCATGCACGCATAAATTAGAGTTGGGATAGGGAGGAAGTGGGATTATCTCAGTGAATGTACCTCAAGAGGGTTGTACTAACACTGAATCTGAAGTCTTAGCTCTCATATAGCCTCTGGTCCCAATGTAAATCTCAGCTGAATCTGAGTACTTCCAGTCTCATCTGTGACCTACAGGTACAGGCCAGTAGAAGCACTTTCTACTCTTAGCTCTCCAGGGTCACATCTCACTTGCAGAAGTGCAATAAAGTAAGTAAAACTAAGAATTCTTTACATGGGAGGTGCCAATGTCAATGTTTTCATGAAGGTACCTTGGCACACTGCTCTCTTTTGCATGCTTGTTCTCACAGTGACCCTTCTGAGGGCAGTCTGGACGTGGCAGACTCAACAGAAGTAGAAGGAAGGAACCAAGTACTCTGAGGTGGTTTTAGTTCAAACACTAACCCCTAAACCTTTTAGGAACTGGGATTGGACTTAATGAAAGACACCAGCATGAGAGGTCTGGCATTCCCACTGGGCTGAGCTCAGCCAGTACCGCTAAGCCAGCTGCGTGACTGGGACACTTTCAGAACAACAGTCAAGAAATTAGAAGTCATTAGGTGTCAGCTCTGGCTCAGCATTAGAGAGTTACTAATAAACTGAGGGATAAGTATTTTTAATGTTCTTTCCTCTCTGATCCTCGCTACTTAAATAGCCACGAAAATGCAAAGTTTGTTCACAGATGCACCATGTGCTGACATCTAGAAGAGAAGCCAGAATTCAGCACAATAACTTCAGGCCTCACCTAGCCTCTTTAATATGCAAACATGTGACACAAATATTTCCAGGGGAGCTGCTGTTTGCACTTTATATATGGTTGAAGGATGTGTTCAGGTACTTTTCTAAACCAGAGCAAGATCTCCTCCATGAAATTTGTCTTTCCAGTCTGAATCCTGCAGAGAACAGTTGTTTTACCCCCGTACATCTAGCTTGAGGGCTGGAACTGAAATTGTTTTCTTCTGCACAAACATAAAAAAAACCCCGCACATTTGGCAGTAGTTCATATATCCAGTTGATAATAGCTGCTTACAATGTGGATTTTTTGAATGTCTAATGCTTTAACTTAAAAATTGACATAGAACAAAATTCAGAGATGATGTGGCCTCTAAGGTAATGTTCTTTATGAACTAGAATGAAATGGGTTTTGTTTGAAGAATATTAAGGGAATAAAGATCAACTAAGTTATAGTTTGACAGCTTAAATTTCATTTCTGAATTCTTGATTTTTTTTCATGTGGGCTTTATCCTCTTACATTATTCAGGATCTGTCTGAAAGATATTAGTTTAGAACAACGCAACCTCAAAAAATTGTCATGGAAAGTCAGTAATTCAAGAGGATGATTGTGTTTGTCTCCAAAAAATCTGAAGGATAACAACAATTACATCTCAAAACGTACAGATGCTGCCATGTCCTTCAGAAGGCAAATTAAATGAAAGTGACTTGCTTAGGTGTACCTGGGTGAGGTACTTTTGCTAGCTGATCAGAAATTAATAATACCGGTGCAGCGTACACCAGCTAAAAGTCTCAGAACAATTCTTGTCAGATTCTTCTGTAATACCCCGCTCTAATTTTATCACTATTCTTTACTCAGTTCAGTGCACTGGATTGTAGTTACAAAACTATTATTTTTAGGAAATCTTTTGATGCTTGTGTAGAAAGATGAATAATCTCACTTTAGGTTCCAGGGCCTGGATTCTGTGCTGACGTTAGTGGTGAAGCTCTAGATTTACACTGGTAAAAGCAAAAACCCTGCAAAACCAGGGTCATCACTGGTTCACAAAAGACAATAAAACCCAGAGAATTTTCCAGAGCAGACCTGTGCTTCAGGAGGTGGTGGGTCAGGTAGATGATAGAAGACACTCGTCTATTCATTTTAAAATGGTGAAATTCCTCATATAGATAACTGTAGTCTGATTTTTATTTTAATTGTGTCAATTGATGGAGACAAAAGAATCCAGAGGTGAAAGACAACCTGTCTCATGTTGTGAAATGGGGACTTTGAAACCTTCACTTCTGGGAAAATACACTTCTCCAAATAACACTTCTCTTGTGAATGTTTAATGTTATTCCATGGTAAACTATACGGGTTCTTGAATGGTCAGCGTGTTGCAACTTCAAAGCATAGTTAGCACCTCTTACAGAGTTTCCATTCAATTACATTTGTGGAGCCGTAAGATCTTGATTATATGCCATATAAAATCAGATCAGCCAAGTACTAAGTAGCCAATTATTCTGTTTAACTACCAGAATAAGGCGTTTTTTATCAGCAATATATATATTTAACTGGCTCCAAGTGGAGGTTAGCTTCTGGTGCCGACACCCTCTGTATGTTTTAGCGGTATGGATAAGGTGAACATACCCACAGCCCAACCTACAAAGGGAGAGCTGCACCGTAGGAATAGAAGAATTCCCAATGATTTCTACTGTTCTCTTCCTGTGCGAATAGGAATAGACAAACAGGAAAGCCCCCAGGGATTGCCCCACTGTAAAATTATTCTGACTGTTTTCAGAACTCTTTCCTAAAGCACCTTTTTGTCATAGAAGCCTACCTACGATAACTGCAGCTGAGGGGAGATGATGAGTGAGAAAAAAATAATAATAAAAGGAGGGAAGAAGGGAAGTGAGGAGATGACAACAGCAGAAAAATCTTCCAAGTAATAACAAACTCTAGGATAGCAAAACCAGAACCTCCTTCAGATTAAATTTTCATACTAATCTTAAATAATGTATTTGGAACCTCAACACTTTTATAACAAAGGAGAAAAGAAAAGCAGAAAGGCTGAAACACTGAGCTGTAAATGAGGGAGACTGTGTACAGATGCCTGAGACTCCAGCAGTCACAAAAAACAAACTACCTCTTCTCTTCCCCCCAACCTCATTCACTGGTTAGCTGCTCATTAAGGAAAAACCTATTTTAAAGAAAACTCAGTGTTTACTGACGCTTTGATAAATTTACATATATTTAAGACACAGAAGAAACAACCAAATCTGTTAGTTTGAGGAAGGCAGCTGAGATAAGTTCCTGCCTATGATACTGTGCAATGTATGACTGTCTGAATCTGTTCCTAAGTTTCTTGGTAATCAGTTTGACAAAGAAATATCTTACAAATCGTGAGCAATGCACTGCTTTGAATCAGTTTTCCAAAATTTCCTAATTTTTGGTATCAACAGAGAGTGAGACATTGCACATCACAAGGCAACAGTTGATATAGACACATACAGCAGACATTTATTCAGGAAGGTTCATGCCCATCACCTGCTGAGAGTGAGCTTATTGAGGTGCTGATCTTAGGTGGATTTCCAGGAGGTAGCAGCAAGACCTAGATCTCAGCTCTAAACTAATAGCATGGAAACTGCCCTGCAGTCAGCTAAATCCAGTTGAGCTTGGTGAACTGTTGAGAATATTTTGCATATTTCATCCCCTGCTCATTTCAAACAGGTCCAGAAAGATGTAAGCATCTTGTTCTACTCACGGTTTTGGGTTTCTGAATGTTCTTACCCTATTTTAATGATTTTTGTGGGTTGATAAAGGTGATTTCATGAGTTGGATGAGGCAAGTACTTGTATAAAAATTTCCACTATCTAGAAAGTTACGGTTGAAGTTGCGTACCACA